GCTCTCTGCAGCCAAGTGAGGTGCCTGGAGAAAAAACAGGGGCCTCCTGGGCACATCAAGCAGCTCAGAGCCGAACCAGCCTGCCTAGGCCTGCTGGGCACCCCACCTAGGGCCAGCCCACGGCTTTTCCTTTCCCTGCGAGTCATACTGCAGATAGGCTGGGGGTAGCTCCCAGGGGCACTTTGAAGGGTACCATACTACAGAGGTTAAGGTTGCATACACAGAGGGTACTCTGGACCAGACTAGACAGAATGAACTAACGGCTCAATAAACTTGGCCTTGAATAGCAGCCTTTGACTCAGGCTTTGACTACCACAAAGAGCCCTGTGGGGAGAGAGTGGGTGCCTGGGTGGAGTCTCATGCACTATCCCTGGTCCTGTCCTGAGCTGGAGCCACTGAATGTCAGAGGGGCAAAGGCTGCTATGAAACCCTTCACCTGTTCTTACCCCTTTAACAGATGAGGAAACTGAGGCTCAGAGGGGACAGTGAGCTGTCCTTAGCCACACCTGGGAGATGATAGGCCAGAGAAAACTGGTAATGCCTTCCAAATTAGTTCCTTCTACATTGCTGCAATAGAATATCTGAGGCAGGCTTACTTTTATATAAGAAAAGAGGTTTATTTAGCTCAGTTTGGGAGCCTCAGTGACATAGTATTGGCATCAGCTAGGCTCTGGTAAGGACCTCTTACTATCTTGGCAGGAGCATGTTCAGGACCACGAGGAGGTCACCTGGAAGGAAGCTAGAGAGATCAGGATTCCATAATCCCTTCCAAGGCCATGCCCACAATTGGCCTAAGGACCACCCACTAGGCCCCAATTTTAAAGGCCCTAATACCACCCACTAGGGATCAGGCTGTCAACAAGGAATCTTTGAGGAAAACTCAAATATCTCAATCACAGCCTTTACTCGGAGCAGCCTGAGCCTGGTGGTGGAGAGAGCCCTGTTCAGACCAGGGGAGCAAGCCTCCCCGCAAAGCCTACAGGACAAATTCACTCTTAAACCAAGTTTCAGGTTTCAAAATCAATAAGCTGAGTGGGTAACTTGATTGTTGTTTCTCCCCCAATCAATTCAGAAGCCAGTGATAAATCTTGGGAGATAACTTCAAATAAGAGAAGCCAGGGATCCCCATAAGAGGACTTGCGTTAGACAAAGGCAGACAGTGACCAAGCATAGCAACCAGAAACCGGAGCCCGAGTCTTCGGCACAGCAGCTGGGAGCCCAGGGCCTTGCCCAGCAGGCTGGCAACCATTCAGTCAGGATCAGAAGATGGTGGCAGAGTCTTTTCAAGATGAGAGGCCACTGGCCAGGGCAGTGTCACTGGCATTTGAGGGGGGTCTTTGGACTTTTAGTTGGAAAGTCCGCAGCCAGCCGGCTCCCTGCTGGAACCCCCATGGCCACCTGTCAGAGTGGGAGGAGGCCAGCAGCGGGAGGGCGAGCGTGGGCTGGGCCTGCAGCACGCTGTGAACACATTCTGTGGAGTTTGGGTTTCCTCTTCTCTCATTCTCAGGGCCTTGCCTCGCCTGCTCTCCTTGGTAGGAATTTGCAGCCCGGGCAGCACCCTCTGGAGGAGGGAGGCTGGTCTGTCTTCAAGTCGCTGCCCAGGAGAGGGGTGCAGAGAACAACCACCCGTGGGGCTGCAGTAGGCAAGAAGTGGTGTTGTCACTACCAGCATTTTCCAGATAAGGCAGCTGAGGTACAGAAGATGAAGTGACAAGCCCGAGGGCCAGCAAAAGAGGCACAGTGGAGACTGGAGCTCCCATCAAGGCCTGGCTCCTCGTCCCATGCCATTTCTGGTGACTTCTCAAGTGCTACCCCCACTCCTCCTGAAATTCTCCCATGGGGATGGCCTGTGGTGACCCCAGGGCTGATTTTCCAGCAGAGCCTGTGCATGGGTATCTTCTCTCTCCAGATGAACAATTCTGGGGGTTGGGGTTCAGTGCTACCTGTGGGGAATCATGTAGCCCTGAGCCTTGGTTACCTCATCTGTTAAATCCCTCAACAGGATTTACCATCCCCTCTGGAGCAGATGGCCCCTTGTCCCGCTGCTTAAAAAGTGACAATGCTGCCCAGAAATGACAAGTGACCCCCCCCCCCTTGGGTCCCTTCAGCTGCTCATAGTTACCAGCCTTTGGGGTGTAGCAAGGGAGCCTGGCCCTGGCTACTGCAGGCCCTCCCTCTATTGCCCCCGCCCAGCAGCTGGGTCAGGCAGGCAGAAGGCCTCCTACATGCTCATCTTAGGACAGAAGTGGGGCCAGGAGAGCCAGCAAGAGCTCATGGGTTCACCTCCCATTCCAGCGTGATTGGCAACAGCCTCTCTGGAAATGAATATACTGGGCACTTTGCATTATCTCTCTTGAGTTTTGACTTTTTAGATTATAGATTTCTTATAATATGTATTGTTTCTAACAGAAAAGCATAAAAGAAACCATAAACCACCTGGAGCCTGGCCACTGTCCCAGCGGGCATTTCCTCCAGCCAGCCGTGCATACTCTGTCCAGTGCAGCAGGGGTTTTCATACTTTTTCAAGGTCGAGAAGCCTGCTCAAAAGGTGGACACACACCATGTCCCATCAATGGACCTTACATCAGGTGTATCTATGCGCTGGCCTGGCTTGGGGACTGCAGAGGGGTAAGGCCCCGATGCCAAGCAGAGGGTGGAGCTGCTACCCTGTAAGTCCTAGAGCCTGTGCAGGGGCGGTGTCCCAGTCTAAGCAAACCGTGAGGTTCAGAAGATGGCCTGGGGGAGGCTCTAGGGTAGGGAGTGGGGCAGCCATAGATGGGCTGAGCTAAGCTGGAGTGAGTGTTGTGTTATTGAAAGTGACCACACCTGTCCTCAAGGCTGCCGACACCCTGAATCTCCTAAGCTTGGTTACCTGGTCTGAGAGGCCAGGGCCCTACAGCTGTTGATGAGAGCAAAGGCCCTCGGCTAGAAGCCCAGCCTGTGCCATCCCTGGGCTACCCTGCTGGACAGAGGCAGACTGGCCACACAGGGTGCTGCAGAGTCCAGGCCAGGTCAGACTGGAGGCTCCCTGGTGGCAAGGCCCAATGCACATTGCTGGCACCCCTGCCTCTCAGCAAGGTTGGAACTACCGAGGGCTGTCTCCCCTCTACCCGCCCAGCTCTGTGGCTCCTGGCTGGACTTGTCTACCTCCAAACATGCACACACACTGCTCTGGTGCTAGCCCACCAGAGAGCCTGCAGCCCTGCTCCACTAATTCTCCCACAGTGGTCCTGCACTGGGACCCCTCCTTGGCTGTGTGACAGATCCCAACTCTGAAGCGTGAAGGGAAGAGAAGGGAACAGCCCATGCCCTTGACAGCATGGAGCTAATGCTCCGTGGCAGAGGGAAGGAGGGCCTACCCGTTCTCCACACCCAAAAGAAACTACACAGCCGTGCCCAGGCAGTTGGGTATGAACCAGGAAGCTTTATTTACACAGTAAAAGTAACAAGCAAATTCCTGAGACTAGAGCGGCTCTAGTGCAAGACAGTTATGGCCTGCGCAGGGAGGACAGGCTGCGGTGGGTGGCGGTGGGGGACAGACCCAGCACCCTCTGCACACTGTGGCCTTGCCCCAGCAGGGGCCTGGCCCAGCAATCCACTGGTCGCCACACTTCCTGAAGCTCTGCAACACCAACACCGCGGGGCCGGTCGGGAAAAAGCACAACCCTAGCACAGACCAGATGCCACCTGTCACCCGAGCCCCGGACATCGCCCTCACGTACTGACATCACAATTCATTTGCCAACAAGACTATGCTAGAAGGTCAGACTATCCTACCTAGGCTACAAGAGCTCCATTTCAGTCTGTAATTTTTTTCAAAAAACATCTCTAAAGAGGCATGGTTTCCTCTGGCTGGCACCATGGAAGGGATGTGACTGCAGCATGGCTGAGGTGGGGTGTCACGCCATGGCCTGCACAAGGCCATGTGTGTGCCCTCCAGGGCTCCCCGAGCCCCGGCACCCGGCTGGGTGGCACCATCCCAGGTGGTGATGTCACAGGCGGTCGTGGTTCAGCTGACCACCCCTGGCCACAGAGCACATGTGCCTTTAACCCTCGGCGGGAATGGGCGCAGGATCCTGGGGTGTGCGGACTGCTATGGAAGCTTGCCGGGACAGGCAGTGCCCTGAATGCACCTCAGCCACATCCGAGTGTGGAAAATCACCCCCCTCTGCATTAGGAGACCCTACTGGAAACTGGGGTTTGTTTTCTTTTTAATGTGACTTTTCCTTTATTGAAATTTTCTTTCAGCATACAAATTCACAAAACTTTGCTGCTACAAAAATTTTGTTGAAAAGTAAGGCTTTCTGAGGATGAAAATCCGTATGTATGGTCAGGACAAGCGCCCTGGGGACCTGCAGGCATCTGCCCATGGACTCTGGGCCAGGCTGCGGCCCACCACCTGCGAATAAGGCAAGAGGGTGTGCGGTCATGTAAACAGCGAGGCTGCAGCCCTGAACCCAGGCCTGGTGCCCAGGCAGACGGCAACTCCTGTCAGTCCAGTGGCTTTTGCAGTGAGTGGGGTGTGCCACGTGACAGGAAGCCCCTCTTCCCACCAGCCTTGCTGGAGCCCAGCCCTGCTCTCATCCTTTGGGGCCTTCTGAGCAGGCAGGCAGCCGGGCACAGCCCACCTTCCAGGTCCTGCACTTCTTCTGCCTCTGTGTGGAGGCAGGAATCACACGCAGGCCTGATGAAGGTAAGGCTCCTGCTTCTGCTGCTGCTGGCCGGGGCCACCGTGCTGGTGGGAGGGACACCCACTACCCTTGAGGACAACCACAGGGGGGCCAGATGGAGCCTCCCAGGTAAACCTCCCTCCCAAAAGCTCCAAGATAGAGAGTCTGGGGCCAGTGGAGTAGGGCACAGGAAAGGCCTTTGGGCTATGTAGCTGCTAAGAAAACAGGGGGGGCACCTTCTAGGTGGAGCCTGCTCTGCCCAATCATAGGCAACCACAATCCAACTGAAGGCCTTCCTTCAAGCAAGGACACCTGCCATCTCCTCCCCTAACTGCTGCTATCATGAGCTTAGGCCAGGGGCTTTGGTAGGACAGAACAGTCAAGAGGGATGAGGAGACTGGAAAGGGCCAAACCCTATCCTGGGATAGGGTCATTTCTGCCTGGCAGTGCCCTGGAAGTGGCTTGGGGGGAGGTGGGAAGGATGAGGCTGTGACTCAGCAAACGCCACTGCTTGCCTTTCTGCCATCAGGCCTAGGGTAGGAGTAGGTAGGATGTGAGGACAGGCCACCCCCCTACAGCCCTATGACACACACTTGCCACCAGGTGCCTCCTGTCCTGGCCCTAAGGAAAGGCAGCTGGGAGCCACTCCCTGACTTAACGTTGGCTGGCCCTTTGGGGGGAAAGGAGTGGGAACCCTGCCTCTGCCTTCCACAGGAAGGGCGTGTTCCATGGTGGCCACCGTTGGTATGGCCACTCCAGATACTAGAACTTCCCATCCTGGGCTTTCTGGGGACAGGAGGCTCTGGCATGTGCTCTCCTTGGTCTCTTGACAACTACCCACCACCTCTAGGGCTGCTCTGAGAAGACAGGGCCTCAAGGTTGGCCATATAGGGATCAGGCACGATGCCCTTGTCCACTGAGCCACGACTCTCTGGTTTGGCTTTCCAGCGCCTCCGGTAGGAGTGACAGCGAACCCCTCCCCCCACACACACACTGCCCCACCCAGTGCCACCATTGCGCTGGCCAGCCTGAGACTGCCACAGGGTTCTGAGGGCCACTGGGGTAGGGGCTTCCTGCAAGCATCCTGTGGCTGATTTGATGCCAACTATACAACAGAATTTGAGCCACCACCCTTTGGATGTAAGTAAAAAGTGAAGGTTTAAACAAAGTTTCCCAAACAGGGTCTTTCTTTAGGAGAAAGGTGAGAACCATAGGACTCGACCTGCAGAAGTGAGGCGTTCGCTCATCCACGAAGATGAGCAAAGGCAAAGTGACTACAAAAGTGCCCGTGATCGTGTCGGTGAACTCGCGAGAACATGTCAGCTATTTTTAGCCTTATGGGAAAATGAGCCACTTGCTCACAAGCCAGCCCACTTGCTCTTGCCTGCGAAAGATGCCAAGTTTGCTAAAAGCCAGATTCCCAGAGTGCAGAGCCTGTGGGGTCTGCAAGGCGGGCTAGGGAGCTGCCTGAGTGCAAATCCTTGGGGAGAGGTGCCGGGAGTGAGGAGCCACAAAGCAAGCGAAGCAAGCTGGGCCATGGCTGGGCCTGCCTTGGAGGGGCGGCACCCAGCCTGGGCTCCCACAGTGGACAGATGTCTTGAGGCGGGCAGTGCACATGGATTAAAGCCAGAGTGCCCATGAACACGTGAGAATGTGCTAGAAACACTGCAGGGGTTCACAGACCCCCCATCCCAGGCCCCACGGAATGGCCAGCTCGTAGCTCCTGACTCCTGAGGACACTTCTAAGAGGCCATGCTTGTGTCGTGTACCACTGCCCTCACCTGAATGAGGGAATGGGAGCCACGGGGAAGCCTGCCACTGCCAGCCCTGCCACGGCAGCCCCTGCGGCAGTGGAGCGCGGGGAGGCTCTCCAGGCCGCAGGTGGGGTGAGTGGGTGTGTCTTCTGGCCCACAGATCCACCATCCCCATCCAACGTGGATGGCCTCTAACAAGCACCCAGAGCTGTTCCCTGGCCTTGGGCATGAACATGGCTTCCCTGCTCGGGGGCCATACCAGCCCCCACATGTGGGATTAAGGCCAAGCGGCTCTGGTGTTTCTACAGGAGGGGGTGTCTCCCGAACCTTCCCGGACCTGGGGCGGGGAGACCTGGGAGAGAAGGCACGGAATAAACTGAGTGAAAGAAGCTGTGGGCCAACTCCCAGAGTGAACCTGAGTGAGGCCAAGAAGGACCAGGACATGGCCCAAGGGATCCTGGCCCCAGCCCACGCCTGGCTCCCAGCGTCCCCACCCAAGGGATGCAGCATGGGCCCAGCCCTGTCCAACACCCCCCAAGAAACAAGGCGGAAAAGACCAAACCAAAAAGCTGCTCTGTGGGGCTACGGCAGTCCCGTGGACCTGGTGGCTGACGTGCTCGACAGCTGGGGAGACTGACACGTCCCACTAGAGGCAGGGCCAGGTCACCTTCACAGAACGTGGGGAGGCGGTGGGCAATCTCCCTGGGACCCAACACCTCTCAGGAAGCTTTTGTCAGGCCCAGGAGCTGGGCTCCCCCTACGAGTGTCCACCGAGCACCCAGAGGAGGGCCCATTGATTCTAAAGCACCCCCATCCCGGACCAGGGCCCAGGGCGCCCTCAGTTCTTCTCTATCTGCTCGATGTCCAACTCGCCATCCAGGGAGCAGAGGCTGTTCCTGGCAGCTCCGCGGTCCCTCCAGGCTGTGGCCAACTCCCCCTTTCTGTTGCAATCTTCATCCAGGGCACAGCCATCTGACTCCTCGCAAGACAGGTCCTCCTGGCAGGTTAGGTGATCGTCGAAGGAGTGGGGAGGAGGCTCAGGGACCGGGGTCCCAGCAGGGGTCCTGCCCCCTGGGCTGGAGGCTGAGGCGGAGAGCAGGGCGGTCCAGGACCGGGTGCTGCTGACATGGAGGGCGAAGGGGCTCTGGGGGCTGCAGTCCTCCATCCCCGTACTCAGGCAGCTGAGGCTGCTGAAGGTCTGACAGTTCTGTGGAGGGGCAGACACACAGGTTACTGAAGGGCTACACCCCTCCTGGAACCCAGGATCACATACCCCAGAAGCTGGGCTAAAACCTAGCTGGCACTTGGTCTGCCAGGCTACAGCAAAACCACTGGATCCTGGACTCATTCATGAAGACACAGCCCTGGTCAGTGAACACTCTGTGCTAATCAGGAAATGCAAGATTCAGCTCTTTCCCTATGTAACTGGCAAAAAGCAGAAACAAGATGGTACCCAGTCCCGCAGTGAAATAGGCACACTCATCACACTTCAGGTGTGGCCTCTCCAAAGGGGACCTGGCAGGAATGCACTTGAGTCCTTACCTGGCCACTTTACTTCAGTTGTCCCACCATACCTGGAACTGGTTCCAGGAACCCCTTCTCAATGCTCAAGTCCCTTATTAAATAATGTTGTATTTGTACAGAACCTGCACACATCCTCCCATGCTTAAAATCATCTCTAGATTACTCACAATGCCCATTGTACCGTAAATGCTGTGTAAATAGTTGTTCTACCGTATTGTTTAGGAAAAAATGACAAGAAGTTTGTACATGATCATTACAGATGTGATTATTTAAAACATATTTTTGGTCCAAGGTTGGTTGAATCTGAGGAAGCAGAACCCATAGATACAGAGGGGTGACTGAACTAGGATTTTTATCTTAAGACAACTACTTAAAACATGTGCAAAGACTCAGCAACAGTGCTGGATATTGAAGCCAAGGCCTTGAGCACCTAGGAGCACACTCTGCCACTGAGCCACACCCTCAGGCCTGACACGAATGCTTTTAGTCACTGCAAAATGAAAAAGAGAGTCATCCAAATCCCCTGCAAGGATGGTCAAGTAAAGTACGCATTTTCAGACAGGAATACACTGTACAGCCGCCACACCAGACAGGGCAGGAGGGAACTTACTGACACATAGCCATGCTCATGGTGACAGGCCTACGTGACACAGCAACCTTACCAGGCCACACTGCTGCACACAGGGGCTGGAATTCCACCCCCCAGCTCCCATGGTCTATAGGGTGAGATAGGACCTTGACAGGATGAGCTGCTGTTATCAGAACCATCCAGGCATCTGGTTCTAGAGTTCTAGGCCCTGCCTGGAGGTGGAGATGCAGCATCTCTGGAGAGCAAGGGCCCTCCTGGCCTTACACAGGCACTGGGGCGGGGGTAAGCCACTTATCTGCTGGAGGAGGAGGGCCAGGCTCCAGGCTGCTTCTGCTCACCAGCTCATCTGAAAGACATGCGTGACAGTCCTTGCCTGTGTTACAGGGCTCTTGGAGGCCTCAGAGAGGAAGTGTGGCTGCCCAAGAGCTCCCCTGCCACCAATACTGCCTCTGTGTGGGGTCAGCCTGAGGCCTGCCAGAGCAGTGGGTGCAGCCTGAGCATGAACTGAAGGGATAGGCCTGAGACTGCACGAGTGAGTACAGTTAAACACTGGCTTTCTTCTCCCTAGGGACAGATGCTTGGTCCAGCAGGAGAAGGGACAGAGGTGTGGCAGTGAAAAACATCCCCAGCTTAGCCCCAGATATTCCCAACAGGACCCACAGCCACAGGTCCCTTAGATGGAGTGCCACAGAACAGCTATGCACACACAGGTAGAGGAGAGGAACTGCAGGCTTTGGTATCTTCTTTGTACCCACGGACTTGGAGTACCTGTCACTTCTTGTGCCACACACATGCCAATGCCAAGAGTACAGACCTGTCTCAAGGGCCCTGGTCCTTTTAAAGTCCAGTGTTTGTGTGTTTCTTTGAAATCAAGATGACCACCAGCTGTCACAGCAAACAAGCTGATGGAGCATCTTGGCAGACAGAGAATAAAAGGCACTCCCCCTGGAGGAAGGCAGCTGCGCCTGCGGGGCTGCTCGGTGCTCCTCGAAGCTCAGAGGAAATAAGTCGGATGAGTTCACTTCTCTTGGAATCTTTCGATAAATGGGAAAGGTAAAAGAAGAGGTTCTGGGGGCTCAGCACTGGATCTAGGAGAGAGGGGCTGGGTTGCCAGCTGCAAGCCCCTGGAAACTGATGCAGCCTCCGTGTGCAAAGCACATTCATTCCCCTCCACAGTGACACTTCCAGGTCAAGAAAACCTGACACCTGGCAGAGCGGAGGCTTCACACGCCTGTGAAGGAAGGATCTCTCTTGGCCAGCCTGAGCAGGACAGGGCCCAGCCTGAACAGTCTCAACCCACGTGACCTTGGCCTTGCTGAGCCAAGCTGCCTGGCTGGAGGAGGCCCTGGAGTAGGGCCAGGATCAGTCAAGGGCGCAGGAGCCCAGGGAGCCAGACCAGCTCTTTCCCATCCCAGGCTGAGCAAGAATAAACATCAACAATATCCAGTCCAGGCCCGAGTGTCTTTAGTGACCTGCTATGGGTGACACGGCTCTGACACCACCATGGGTCTCACCATGTCTTTTCAGCGTGCGGATGCCTAAACACACGCCCTGTTCTCCACAAGATGGAATGTAGACAAGGCAGGCCGTGGGCAAACCTGACAGAGATAGCTCCACACTCAGCACTTGGCTCCACCCTCCCCACCTCCTGCCTGTCTTGTCCAGCAACCCCCTGAGAAGCAGCGGCATGTCCTGACTTTATGCATGTGGTCTGAACGTGTGTTCCACATCCTCACTTTGATGCCTCATCCTCATGCACAACATGAAGATGCAGGGCCTTGGGAGTGAGGGTCACAAGGGTGGCACCCTCATGAGTGGGATCAGGACTCTGATAAAAGAGACACGTGGGAGAGCTCATGGGTCCCTCTGCCATCTGAGAGCATGGCACCTCCCCACACTTGTAGTCACAATCATGGATTTCCTGGCTTCTAGAACTAAAGGAAGAATTTTCCCTTGTTCTTCAGTTCCTTGCTCTCGTCTTGTTAGAGCAGCCTGAAACAACTAAGACCCATGTCAGTACTGGCCACAGCGCACAGGAGGGTGCTAGGGACCCCTTTTTGATGGACCTGGAGAAGGCCGAGTTCAGACAGGCTGTTATAGATGCAGACTTCACCCCACATGGCACCCCGGCTTCAGACAAATCTCTCCAGCCTCTGAGCTATGGCCTGTCTGAGTTCAGATACGGGTAGCCAAGGACATCCAGGGCCACCCTTGCCCTAGCTATCTGAAATAATGGGCCCTTTTTGCTCTGCAGCAGGATGAGAAGTCATAAGGTTAAGGTGGCGAGTCCTGTCACAAACACCATGGGATACATGCCTCCCCCCACACCAATATTCCTCAAAGGTACCTGTCCCTCGGCCGCAAAGCCAGGTGTCACTTTGAAAAATCTGTTGACGCAAAGCTCAGCCATTACAGCCACACCAAGCTCCACCACTGGTTGCCCCACCTGGTAGCCTGTCCCACCAGTTAGGGAGGTATGTGACTGCTGCAGTGGGACAGTGTACGTGCTGCCCAGAACCCCATTCCCAGGGAGCCCACACTGACAGACACCAGAGCACACTCACACCCAGGTTTGCAGCCACCTGGGCCCACTACGTCCCCAGGCAGGGCCCACCCAGCCTCCCAAGAAGCTTAGCCTGTTCCCATGAAGTTGCATGAGCCTGACGGAGGCCCAGAGGCCTCAAAAATGTTTGGGGTAAGTTCAAAGTACCACATGAACACATCATTCCAAGGTGAAATTGCTGCTCTGGGATAAAATGTCACTCACCTGCCAACCCCTGTTCTCTTGAGGCCCAGCCTGGCCCAGGAACAGTCCATCTACTAGGGCACAGGCCTGCCCAGATCTCAAAACCCAGTGAGAACAGTCTGTGTGGCTTCAGATGAGTGGCCAGAGACCTTAACCCCCTTTTTTGCAAAAGGCAGAAAACAGCAGCCTGCTGGAGGGGTGACTTTGGAATGAAGGCCCTGTGAGCTGACCTTTCCACTAGACCCACCAGAGCTTGACTTTAACCAGCCAGGACAGAGACCAGGGCCACTCCTGCTGCCCTAGCCTGGCTCTCCAGTTCAGCCTACCCAACTCCGTCTCCTCTGGGCTTCCCAACCCTTCTCTGGGGAACTTTTTTGAGCAGATACTTGTTGTGCAATACCCCTTCTGCTCCTGGCTGGGCCCTGGGACAGACAGAGGTGTCCTGGGCCTTATTTCCAGGTGCAAGTTGAACCCGCTTCTTAGGAAACACATTAACTCAGCAGATACTTGGCTCTCTGTTGTAGCTGGTACAGAGTCATCTGCCCTGCTGAGCCTCAGGACCATGGAGCAGGCATGTCAGTGGGACTCTAGAAGGACCTTCTGAGCTGCAAAAGCATGTTTCCTAAGTAGGGACCCAGAGGGGCAAGGTCTGGGTGGGGCAGGGAAGAACAGCAGAGCTCCTTCAGGGAATGATGGCTGGGTGCCAAGAGGCTCCCAAACCTAAGATTCTTATCTTTATACACAGGATCAGGTGTCCAAGGGCAAGGGCAGGCTGGCTGGTCAGTGACATGTCTGAGCATGCAGCACAGCTCCCCCTGGGTTTTGGTTTCACGTGGAGGGCTGGAGGAGGAGGGCTGGAGGAGGAGAGCAGGGAGCATAAATTCTATCAGAAGCAGGACTGTCATCCGTGGCCTAGCTGCTTCCAGAATTTGTTTCGGAAACAAAGCAAATGAGTGGTAAATCAGGGGCTGCTGGATCCCCTCATCCACAGAAGCCCCAACTCACTAGGCCATGAGTGATGGTGCTGGGTCCACAGCTATCCCTTCCAGAAGTGTTCTGGGCTGCCCGCCTGGTCCATGACCAGTCAGGGTGCACATGCTGCCCTTCACTGTGGGCAGGATCACATCCCAGGTGCCAGCCACACTCCCAGGCACCAGGCTGAGGCCCACCTTCTGCTGTGCTCGCCTCTGCTTGGCTCCCCCCCCCCCCCCCCGTGGTCACCCCTGCCATCCCTCTGGGCTTCTCCCCAGAGCCTCCCTCCCTCCATCTCTTGCCCAACAATCCCTGGCTCAGGCTCTGCTCCTAGGAACCCTGCCGCCTGCCGAAGGCAGCAGTCAAGGTGCTCCAC